TTTTCCGAAATGGCTTGGCCATTCTTTAGCCACTGGACATCCACTTGAGTAATGGATAAAGATAAAGTCACATATTATTATTTAGGGGGCCAGGGCCGTCTGGGAGTTACGTGCTATCTCAGGAGCCTCCAGAGTCAGACAGCAGTGAGGCAGAGGAACAGGCTCCCCTAGTTCCCAGTGCGCGCATGCGCAGAGCTGCCAGAAGGCAAGAACAGTTAAGACAGAAGGGATGACTTGGGAATAAGCTTTGGAGGTGATTGGCCCCTCCCATAGGACATAAAGGAGGAGCAAAGGCACGTGAGCCTTTGTAGGAAGCAACTTGGTTCATGCTGGTCAATTTACCTTCTGAAGCTCCGTTTTGACTCTTTGCTCTGTGTGGACTTGCCAAGCTGATTGCCTATAAGTCTTTGGCAGCGTTTCAAGGAAGATAAAGGTGGGTGCTTATCAGCCTTATCTCGAAAGACTTTGGCAGACTACTGTCGGACTCTTTACAACTATTTGTGTCTCCTTACCAGCAGTGAATGAACATAATTCACAGCCTTTGAGATAAAAAGAGGGTTTGGGGGACTAAGCGTGTGCTTTTTACTGTATCAGGAAGGTCAGAACAGCCTGAGAGGAATAGAGCCATGGCCCTTGGAGTAATTGACTTTGAGAAGAGGCAGCAGGGACTGTCTCCTATTTGGGGACACCTTACTTAGCCATGTTTGAGCCAGAGTAGACCATAGTCATGAGGTCTAGAAGTTTAAAAAGCAAACAAACTAGGAATGTGAAAAACTGCAAAAGTGGCGAGCTGTGGAATATTTGGGATGCATTGAAGTTTTCCAGTCTACTCTAAATCCCCAATAATTTGATTGGCTTCTGCCAATTGCCAAGATCTGATCCTCCTATCCAAACTTTTCTTTACCCACCTCAGAACTACTGGTGAAGTTTGTTCGGGGTCTCTCAGATGTGACAGCGCTGCAGGGTGACACGGTGTTGTTTTGGTGTGAATTGTGCAAAACCAAAGGTGATGTAACATGGCTGAAAGATGGGCAGGAGCTGGAACCCAATGAAGACGTGAAGATCGGAGCAGAGGGACGAGAGCGTTCCTTGACACTCAGCAATGTGAGGACCGAAGATGCTGGCGAATATTCATGTGAAAGCAAAGATGACCGTACTTTGGCTATTCTCACAGTCCAAAGTAAGTTCTTTTTGGAGAAGTTGGAAAGCAGATGCCTTGCATGGAAAACATCTAGTTTCAACATCACATTAATATAAAGCATCCTTTGTTCCCACTTATTAAAAGAAGGCAGAAGTTGTATGAACACATCCAGATCCCATCAAATGAAAGATGAATATTCCAAAATTAGGAAATTGTTCAAGCAATTCTTGTTTCTTGTCTCATAATAGCATGCACATGCTTCCCAGGCTGCAGTGCAATTCTATTATCCTCTGTGCATTGCTATGCAGGTGGTCCTTGATTTATGATTACAATTAGCCCAACATTTTTGTTGCTAAGTGAGACATTTGTTGTGTGAGCTTTACCCCATTTTAACAGCCTTTCTTGCCAAATAAATTAAATTTATTTAATTAAATAAATAAATAAATAAATAAATAAGCTTCAGTGCAAAGAGGCAAACCTGTATGTCCTACCTAAGAGATGAATCCCATGGTGATACCACATTGGATGGACTTTGGGGTCTCCTGTTGGATTGGTTGTACGCTAGCAAACTTCATGTAAACTGAGATGGCACCTTTTTCTCAGTCCCTAGGTTGGTGGAGATAATTTCTGAGCTGCATAATTTAACGGTGCTGGAAGGGGATGATGCCATTTTCAAAGTGGTGATATGTCCCGATGATGTCAGGTTGAATTGGCAGCTGAATGGACAAGACGTCGTGAACAGTGAGCGGTTGACCATAACCAAGAATGGGCTATGCCACACCCTCACCCTACGACAATGCCGCTTGAGTGACACCGGCATAGTCACCGTCTGTGCGGAAGGTCTGTCAAGTTCAGGCAGACTCAGTGTGCAAGGTAAGAGGAACGGTGTTGGGCAGAAGTACTGTGCATCAGTGATAGTAATTAGTAATTCTCATTAGTCAGAGTTACAAGGGGGTTATCAGCTGATGCCACGGCTGTGTCCTTTCTTGTCTTCCCAATTCCATGCGAAGAAAATATAAATTTCTTTACTCCAAATGATATCTCTGCTTACTTAGTTTGCATAATTTATGCTGCTCCTTTAGTCATGCAGGGAAGATAATAGAATCCCTTTTGGAAATTCTACTTTGACTTTCCTTTCGTCTTTGAAGATTTATCTAGGCACAGCATGTCGAATTTTCAAAACTTTATCTCCACAGCCCTGCAGGTTCCGAACTTGTATTTTTTTTGCGGGGGGGGGGGGGGAATAAAAGCTCTGAGGTTCTGAGTCTTCTGAAATCTATGTTTGTAAACATGCCAGACTGACTCAGGCCTTGGGAAATGGCTAGATCCTGGCTTGTCTTCTCTCTGTAAAGAGGGAGGGATGGTGGCCTGGGAATGCATTCAGGTATCAGCTAGCATTCAACCACTGAGCCTTATTTTCTGCAGAGGCTCAGGTGCTGTTTGTCCGGACGTTGCGTGATTTGGCGGCTGAGGAGGGGCAGGATGTCCGCTTGGAAGTGGAGCTGAGCGTGGAGAGTGCGGAGGTGCAGTGGATGAAGCAAGGCATCTTACTGCAGCAGAATCCAAGACTCTCCATGGAGGTGCAAGGGCCAAAAAGGGTCCTTACCATCCATCAGATTGAGCTTGCTGACCGAGGCACCTATCGCTGTGAGAGTCTGCATGATCGCACTCAAGCCAGGCTGAGTGTGGAACGTAGGTGTCATTTCTATCCTGATCTTGTTTTCTCTCGCAGTTTTATGTTGTAGAACCTTGGGAGAAAGTCAGTGTAACGTTTTATCTTAGGGGTTTTATTTTCCTCCATGACATCTCTGCTGAATGTGAGAACTCCTTTAACAATGATTATCTGAATATTACCAGTTGCTTAGGAAGCTCTGCTTGCTTTAACCCTTTCTGTATCCTTTCCCCTGCCTACCAAGCCATGCCCACCAAGCCTCACTACGCCCACCAAGCCATGCCCACAGAACTGGTGGTAAAGAAATTTGCACTTCACCACTGGTCTGAACACGTTACTTGCATATTTCTGGGTGTAAGAGTGATTTTTTCATGAATAAAATAACTTGGCATATGAAGATAAGAAATCAATTATTTTAATAAAGTGCACTATTTTACAGATACTTATTTTTAACTAGTAATTCTTAATTCAGTTACTGCAATCTCATTTTTGTCCTATCCTTGTCTTTTTGGAATCTGAACTTTAGCAGTTATATATGTAGTGGCCAAATATAGTAGAAGATACTGCATAAGACTGTTGCCTTTGTTTATCATTTATTTATTTTTACACAATGTTCACTTGAGTTAAATGTGACTCACGGTGACATGTCCACATTGCTTGCTTGGCAACAATATGGAAGTGAGTTTGCCATTGCCGCCTGCTGGGATTTTTTTAAAAAAACATCCCAGTTTATCTCAGAGTCCTGGGATTTCCTCTTGGTCTCCCATTAAATATTAGCCAAGTCCAACCCTGCTTAGCTTTTGTGAGATTCATTAAGATTGCCCTAGTGCTGATAAGTTTCTTATGAGGAAAAATTATCTCGAATTCTAGTTCAGCTAGTTCATTCTGATAAATGTGCTGAATCTGTTAAAAACCTTCCACTCTATTTTGCAATAAATGTATGAGGAAGAAGTGAGTGTGGAGTCTACTCAAGTAGCTCAGAGAAACATACAATTTTCTTACTAGTGGGAGTCACAGAAGAAGCATCCTATGATTCTGTATCTGTTGAATTGGAGTCTTAATATTATATATGCCATTCCTGGTAACTTGCTTTGATTTGAAATAAGCTTTTTTCATGACAAAACTGGATCTATCAGACTTTTCTTCCTCTCCAGCCCGGAAGGTGACAGTGAAGAAACCACTATCAGATGTGGAGACATTGGAAAAGGAGACAGTGACATTTGAGCTTGAGCTTTCTCACCCCAATGTATTGGGGGTCTGGACGCGTGACGGCATCCGTGTGAAGCCTAGTTCCACCTGCCAAATGAGTGCCACTGGTTGTGTGCACAGCCTGACGCTGCAAAGGCTCATGCTAGATGACACAGGGACTGTGGCCTTCACTGCGGATACTGTGCGGAGCTGTGCGCGCCTTACGGTCCGAGGTACTGGACTAGTGGAGGGAGGACTGAGGAAAGGCAACCTTGGTGCTGGAAATAAAGTAGGAAAAAAGCAGTGCCATCATGCCCAGATTGTAACCTCCTTACATCCTTTAGCTGGCCATTGCAGGAAGCAGAATGCTAGACTAGATGCTCTTTGGATTAGTCCTATTTTTCTAACAGATTTAATGTCCAAAACTCAATGTACCTGCAGAGCAGAGCAGTTTTGATAGCAAGAGCAGCATGAGAAAACTGGGCATGGGAAGTACGACAGGTACTGTAGATAAATTGGTGTCTGTTAGATAAATTGGTGTAACTGAGGATAAGGGATGCAAACTGGTGTGGTTTGGCTAAGTACCATCCCCTGAAGACGTTTAATCTTTTTAGTCTCCAAAATAGTGCATCATCAACCTACTTGCAACTGTATTTAGAGCTGCGCTGGCGCAGTGGGTTAGAATGCAATATTGCAGGCTAATTCTGCCAACTGCCAACAGTTCAAATCTCACCAAGCTCAAGGTTGACTCAACCTTCCATCCTTCCAAGGTCAGTAAAATGAGGACCCAGATTGTTGTAGGCAATATGCTGACTCTGTAAACCGCTTAGAGAAGGCTGTAAAGCACTGTGAAGCTGTATATGTGCTATTGCTGTTGCTATCTCTGTCCTTGTAGAGCCACCAATTACAATGCTGCGCTTGCCCCAGGACTTGGGAATTCCCGAGACAGGCTCAGCTACCTTTGAGTGTGAGCTGTCCCGACCCCTGGCTGAGGTGAAGTGGTACAAGGTGAGGGTATTATCTTTTATCAACATCCCCACTTCCTTGATCTTCTCTATAACTGCAGGAACGGGCTGTCCTGAAAAGTCCTCCTGATTTATTCAAGGGAACATTCTTGATTAATACGATCTCCATCTTCCCTCACTCCCCTTTGTGTCCTCAGAACCACCCGAGAGCTTCCCTTTCTCCCCCTTTCCTTTCTCAGAGCTAAAACAGACCTGTTCTCTATGTCTTTCATTCTCACAGGATGGCAAGGAGATCCAGGTGAGCCCCAACTGCCGCATATATTCAGTGGGGCGTCGGCGTCTCCTGCAGCTCAACCATTGCAGCCTTGAAGATGCTGGCGAATATATGTGTGATGCTGGTGATTGCCATGCCTCTGCCAAACTGAGAATCTTTGGTATGGATGACTTGGGTTATGGATAAGAGCAGAAAAGGAGTGGATGGTGTGGGGAGCGGGAAAGGCTTGGGATGGAGCTCCCCATACAAAGCATGCTCACTTGTCGTGTTCTGGATGAGGGCAAGGCCCCTTTTGCTTTTCTGACTTTTGCCTCCAGTGGCTGGAGCAGGCTGGTGAACATCCAATGCACAGTGCACTATAGTGAGTCAAATTTGCAAGGCTTCTATAGAAAGCTAGATGGGAAATGAGAGCCAATGAATATTTAAGTGGGTTTTAGAAGAGAGACATAATGCATGGTTACTAGCCCACTCACTAGATAGCATCTCCATGTTTATGCTTGAAAGGGCAATTTCATAATGAATAAAAAGGAATACATCTTCCTGGAAACATCTGCCTGGCCATTCTTGGAAACAGGCTATGAAATAAGGATAATTTTGGACATTTACTATCAGAGAGAGCAATCTAACTGAATACTTGTTGCTGAACATCAGTGTTGCTAGAGAGCTGTTTTTCTCCTGTCCTGCTTGGGGCTTCTTAAAAGTAGCTGGTTGGCCATTAAGAAAAGCAGAACGGGGCAGTAGATGAATGTTTCTCTTGATCCAGCAGGAATGATAGAAGGAGAACTATATTAGGCTATACCAGCCCAAAATAAGGAGGAGTTTGACAGCACTTTTTCCCCACCAACATATTTTAATAAAAAGCATAGCTTTTGTGTACTGCTGTTCATTTCATCGAGGCATGATGGCTCAGTGATTAAAGACATTGAGTTTGTGGGCTGACCACCCATGTTCAAGAACCAATTTTTGGGGGGGGGGGGGGGGCATTACATGCCCCAGCTCCTGCCTACCATGTTTCCCCGAAAATAAGATTGGGTCTTATTTTCTTTTGACCTCCAAAATAAGCGCTTGACCTTATTTTCAGGGAGGTCTTATTATTTCTGAAGTGAAGGAGGGGGAGAGCATGGTCACTTCATGGCTGCTGCTGTGTTGCAATATTTTTGGGGAGGGCTTATTTTGGGGGGAGGGCTTATTTTAGTGCATGCACTCAAAAGCCCGATTGGGCTTATTATCCAGGGAGGTCTTATTTTCAGGGAAACCGGGTACCTAGCAGTGTGAAAGCATGCACATGCAAGTAGTTAATAGATATCACTTTGGTGTGAAGGTAGCAGCGTTCATGTATCTTTGGTATATAGTCACATAAGTGTCTTTGGACAACGCCAGCTCCCTTGGCC